CAGCATGGGGGTGAGTAGAAAATGAAGGCTAATCATGTTTTGGGTGTACTATTCCTTTAACATCAAGTGTAAAACGAGAGGAACCAGAACCAGCAGACATTTAAACACGCTGCACCTTTTTCGCATCACATCCTCGGATTTCACTGGGTTTTATTCATATTTTCAGTGGGATTATAAATTAATAGCGATCAAATTAAAGATTTTTATCCAATTCTAGAAAACCAGAAGTGTTGGATTTAATTAAATTGCCTAAAATTCAGCAAACTGAAGTTTTTCCTTCTTGCATTAAATCGTTTAGTTTTAGATAGGAGATAGAAAAGGGAGCGCATACTTTCCCTTTGGGCTGTAATTGAGTTTATTGGATGCTACTTACTCCCTGCTGACTCATTCATATAAAGAATGACTAATGGTTGTGTTGGTAGATGATATTACAAACTGACAGTTCCCAGAGGGGAAATAGATGTGGCTGCTGTGTCCACTGCATCCATTTATCCACCTGTTCTGCTTCATTATGCCTCAGCAGCCCATTAAGACGGAGCTTTCCCTACGGGAAGTGCAGCTGTGCCCTGCAGGACGTACCAGCCCACCCGGCAGCAGTAAATATCCACTGACATTAAGCAGCCTAAGCAGCGACTTCCTGTCTTGTGCTCGACGTGGCTTCTGCTGTGTGGTTCCCCCGGCTGATCTTTCCCTGGGGGGCTGAGCAGATCTCCTCTGCCTGACTCCAGCTTTCCGTCCCTCAGCTTAGCGTTAGCAGGTTGATTAAATAGGAGTCGCTTTCCTTCGCAGCCTCGCCGTTGATTCTACTGAGTCACAGGCGTTTGGCTGCAGACCAAGATGGAGGGCCTGTGACTCTGGAGGATAATAGCTTCACTCAATGAGAATGAAGTTTGATTGAAGATGATTTTGGCCTTTTCTGCTCGTCAGAATGGAATAAAAAGCTTTATGGGAAATCTACATTTCTAGACTCTTCCCTATCTCACTGTCTAACAGTTCAAACTTTTCATCCAAAAGCCATCTGGAAAAGAAAGAACTAAAACGGTTTAAAATTAGCTCTATTTGCTCGCTACGGTAAAACTCTCAATGCCAACATTGAAGGCAAACAGAGCAACACAGATAAAGCAACTAAAACTATGAAAATAAAAATGTCACCATCTAAAGGGCAACAGAAAAGTAAAAAGGCTGAAATCCTTCATTCAACATCCTTAAATCCAGGTTTTTATTTCTAATACTTTAGTCATAATTAGACATTCCTCAGTCGCTCCTAATCATGAGGCGTCCGTGATGAATACTCCTCTTTTGGCTCAGTTTACAGATATTAACATAACCTATGGAGTGAACTTTTTCTCATTATTTGTTGCAAGAAAAGAAAATATTTAACACACTGAAAAAAACCCAATTAACCAGTATTTAAACTATATTTAAATATTTTACTCAAAAAAAAGGTTTCACTTGCTTTTATCAGTTTTTTTAAATATAATTTTTTCACATTTTTTAATTTTGCTTTTTCAAATCCAGCTTTTAGAGAATATTTTCACAATTTTTATTTTTTTTTTTATTTTTGTTATTTAGCTTTTCAAACTACATTCCTTTAAAATTGCATTGTAGGGAGCCCATTCCCTTCACCTCTGGGGGCGGGGCTTTCCTCTGGAGTCAGAAGCAAATACGCGTTTCTATTGGTCTGCTGGACGTTATAACAACGGCTGGAATTGGGCTGGAAGTAAAGATAATTTGATCTGTGAAATGCAATTGGAAAAGAATGAAATCAGTGAAACTCAATCTTAAAAATAGTATTTTGAAAAAGGAAAAAATCTTTAATTTAAAAAGAAAAAAAAAAGCAAAATCTGAGAAAACTCCAAAGTTCCATTTAAAACCCTTTTTTGATTAAAAGTTAATTTCTGGATCGTATTTTTCCTCAAATCACCATTTACATATGTGTTTTTTTGCTTACAAGAATAATGGAACAATTTTTACTCCATACAGTGTCCAGCTGTTTCCTACAAGCCAACAGGAATTAAATGATATAAACATTACAGCTCCTTGGAAATATATTCACCACCGAGATTCACAAAGAGGTAATAATTTTTATAAAATAATATTCAATATGTGAGATTAATGCATTTCATCTAATACTTAATTAGATTAAATATTGGTTGTCAGATTAAAATACATTTTGATAAAAGATGTTTTTTTTCTTTTTATCTACTGGTTGGACACAATATTCAATTTTTTTTTTATAGTTTTAATTTGTTGGAAGCAGATTTTAACAGAATTTAATTGTATTTTTTTTTTGGATCAATAAAGTAACTCTGCAGCTAATCTATTTCATTTAAAGAAGTTACTAAAATAAATCAGATCTATTCAGTAAAATCTTAGCCCTTTAATGCCTAAACTTTAAAGAAAAATATCCAAAAAACATAATTATTTATTTATTTTTATTAGATATGACAGTTATGAGAGATAGTTATAAATAAATTAAATTAGATAAGAATCATTTGTGGTTCATCAGACAGTTTATTACAGATTTTCTGTTCACTGCTTGTGTCTCAATTTTTTAGAATATATATGGAATTGATGATGTAGGTAAGAAGAAAGAGAGATACAGAGATTCATGGCAGAGAATGGCCTAGTCAAAGTACAGATATATGATTTCTAACAAGTAGAAAGAAGAAGAATCTGTCTGATATGAACATAAACTGATCTACTCTGAAACGTTTTCTGAAGAATATAGATATAGAGGATACAGAACATGACTCAGCTCAGATTTTAAAGTTATTTTTCCTTCTTATTACATAAAATCCTCCAAAAATATTCAGTTTTTATGGTTTTAAGGTGACAAAATCTATTCTGAATTTCTTAATGAAGCCGTCAGCCAATCAGCTGCAGGCAGTGACTGCAGTAATGAATCCAGCGCACGCGCCACGTTCCGAGAGAGGGGAGGGGTGAGGGGGGGGAGGAAGCTGAGGAGGACCACAGGA